AGGTAGAACTGCTTTTGTGGATTTCCAAGGCCATAACTTTGGAGCAGCTCATGGTTTTGAACTGTTGACCTTTACATTAGCAGCCCAATGTGTAAGAAATATCACCAGAGATCCTAAGTACACAGTAAATATTCAATAAATACTTGCTAAATAATTCCTGTTATTTATTTAAAAATTTTTAATAGTTTACTGTATTGTAAAATGGCACAAATTCTTTTTTGAACTGGGCATAAGGCACATAAAATGATAGTCTCTCCAAAATCCCCCATGGATGATCCCCAATCTCCCAATAGGAATCTCCATATGATATAGTTAAGTAAATTTATGTAAGTCAGCCACATCTTGAGCTTGTCATAGCTTCAAAAGTTCAGAGTTTTGTTCATATTTATCTTAAACTGGAAGGTGAGAATGAAAAAACAGTGGCTCACAGATTTGAAGTTTCTTGTAGGAAGCTGAAGTGAAGGTTTTGTCTTAGTAGAAAGAACATAGATTTTGGTGCTAGCTATATTTGGTAAGGTTTAGATTCCAGCTGCACAAGTTACTATCCTATGTAACCACAAGTAAGTCACTTAGCTCTGAGAAACAGAGAATGGGACATTTTTCTTTTTTTCTTAAATCATTTTATTGGGGGCTCATACAACTCTTATTGCAATCCATACTTACATAGATTGTGTCAAGAAAGCACATTTGTACATTTGTTGCCATCATCATTCTCAAAACATTTTCTTTCTACTTGAGCCCTTGGTATCAGCCCTTCATTTTTCTCCCTCCCTCCCCTCCCCTCCCTACCTCACAAACCCTTGATAACTTATACATTTTTTTTCATGTCTTACACTGACCAATGTCTCCCTTCACCCACTTTTCTTTTGTCCATCCCCCAGGGAGGTGGTTATATGTAGATCATTGTGATCAGTTCCCCCTTTCTCCCCCACCTTCCCCTTCCCCTTCTGGTATCGATTTTTGGTCCTCAGGGATTTATCTGTCCTGGAGTCACTGTGTTTCCAGCTCTTATATGTACCAGTGTACATCCTTTGGTCTAGCCAGATTTGTAAGGTAGAATTGGGATCATGATAATGCTGGGGGGGCATTAAAGAACTAGAGGAAAGTTATATGTTTCATCGGTGCTATACTGCATGCATCCTGACTGGCTCTTGTCCTCCACATGACACTTCTGTAAGGGTATGTCCAATTACCTACAGATGGGCTTTGGATCTCTACTCCACACTCCCCCTCATTCACAGTGGTATGATTTTTTTGTTCTTTGATGCCTGATACCTGATCCTATCAATACCTCGTGATCACACAGGCTGGTGTGCTTCTTCCATGTGGACTTTGTTGCTTCTCAGTTAGATGGCCGCTTGTTTATCTTCAAGCCTTTAACACCCCAGATGCTGTATCTTTTGATAGCCAGGCACCATCAGCTTTCTTCACCACATTTGCTTATGCACCTGCCTTGTCTTCAGCAATTGTGTTAAGAAGGTAAGCATCATGGAATGTCAGGTTAAAAGAACAAAGTGTTCTTGCATTGAGGGATTACCTAAGTAGAGGCCCAATGTCCATCTGCTACCTTAATATTAACTTATAAATATATTTACATAGATCTATTTCTCCATCATCATATATAAGTAGATTTATATATGTACATGCCTGTATTGAGACCTCTATAAATGCCCTTTGTCTACTAGTGCTTTCCTCTATATTTCCTTTTACTTTCCCCTTGTCCGACTATCATGTTCAGCCTTCATTTGGGTTTCAGTAATTCCTCTATGTTTCATTGCCCTTGATCAAGCCCTACTAGGCCTCCTACACCCTCCTTGCCATTGATTTTAGATCACTTGTTGTTCCCTTTTCCCTGGGTTTGTTAACATCCACTTCCTATCCCCTACCTCCCCCACTCCCATGTCCCCCTGGAACCATCAGTCCTGTTTTCCCTCGAGATTATTTACCCCACCTATCTTATCTAGAAAGACCTAGAGAGATAATAATATGCACAAAAAACAAGACAAATGAAAGTAACAAAAGAAAACAAAACATCAACAAAAAACTACCACCAACAACAACAAAAAGAAAAGTCTAAAAATTTCAAGGTCTGTTGGTTGACCTTTAGGAGTGTTTTCTGGTCGAGTCTGATTGGGTGCCACGCCTTCGCCCCAAAGTCTATTTTTGGTATTCTCTGGAGACTTCTTTGCTCTGCTCCCCTTGCAGTTCTGTTGCATGCCCTTAGTGTTTCGCATTGGTGTGGTGGTGTCAGATTGGGCTCAATTCTCACACTGTGTCTCCAGTGTTGTCTCCTGTAGCACAATGAGTCAGTGAGGGATTTCATGTCTCATAGTGGGACCCGCCCTATGGTCCTCTCTGCATTGGCTGCTCTGAGCAGGAATACCATCTGCAGGGCTTGGTAGGCCAGGATGTGCTTTACTCTTTCTTCCTCTCCCTTCATTTGCTCCTATGTGGTCTGATTAGACATGTCCCTCTCCCTGAGCTGTAGCTTCAGTGCTGTCCTCTGAAGTGGATTCTTCTGTGGGTAGGGGAAGCTGCTCACATAGTTGGGATCAGAGCCAGCCCCTCAGACCTCTCTATTGGTTCCTTAATTAATGCCAGTATGTTGGACTGGCATATTTTTCATAGTAGGGTTGTGAAATCAGAAATAGTAGGAGTTGGGTAGGCTTCAAAAAGCTCAGGAAAAAATAGACTGGAAAATTCATAGACAATTTACATAAATTTTTGAAGGCCCCTTCATATGATGGGGTACCCCACCCCAACCAGAATATTTTTCACAAGCTACGTATTTAATTTTTTTAACAAAACAACCATACCATCTTCAAATTACTCGCCATTACACTTCAAATATTTGTCAACCTGTGATTCCATTTGTGGAAACATTTTTCAAACTCATCTGCTTGGTTGGCTGACAACACCTCCCTCATTTTTATCTTCACTTCTTCTATGTCGTCAAATTGCTGTCCTTTCATGTCCTTCTTCATTCGCAGAAAGAAAAAGAAGTTGCATGGAGTGAGGTCAGGTGAGTAAGGTGTGTGGGGCAAGAGAGGCATGCTGCTTTTTTTTGTTGCCAAAAACTGTGCATCAAGAAGGCTGTGTGATCAGGTGCATTATTGTGGTAGCAAAACCAGCCCCCCACCCCTTTGCCACAAATCAGGTCTTTTTTATTGCACACTTACACTATCTTTTCAGAACCTCTAAATAGAAAACTTGATTAACAGTCTGACCTAGTGGGGTGAACTCCAAATGCACTATCCTCCTCACATCTAGAAAACCAGTGAGCACCATCTTGATCTTTGATTTCACTTGATGAGTATTTGGGGGGCAAGGTGATGATGGTATCTTTCACTGGCTTGACTGATGTTTGCTTTCAGGGTCATAAGAATAGCACCAGGTCTGGTCACCGTTAATGACCTTGGGAAAAAAGTCTAGGTTGCTTTGGAGCTGTTCTTTCAAAGCATAGCTTGTTGTCACACAATGTCTTTTTCCTGGTCAGTCAGAATCCGAGGCACAAATTTCGCAGCAACCCTTCTAATTCTGAAATCTTCCATTAAAATTCACTGAACTTAGCTCCAAGATACTCCAGATAATTTCCCCATCTCTTCAAAGGTCTGTTGTCAGTCTTCAAGCACAAATGCATGAATGCTCGACATTTTTGTTCATTTGGGAAGTCAACCAATATCTAGACCAACATCTAGAAATGTTTGTCGTCAATCAACATTTCACCTTTTTGAAATGAGAAAACCACTTGTACACTTGAGTTTTTCCCATAGCGCTGTCCTTGTAAGTTGTGTTCAACATCACAACAGCTTTGGCGGCATTTTTCCTGATCAGTAAGCAAAATTTCACAGTCACATGCTGTTCTCTTAAATTGGCCATCACCAAAAACAAGGTTTAAGTGAAACTGCTTTTATGAAAAATCTCACTGTGACCAGAGAGAATCTCCCCATATGATGCCACTGGGTGCACTAACTCAGAGCAAGTTGTTCGATGCTCCCCTATCAGGAAAAATGCATATCATGAACACTCTGCCTAGTGGAGCATTTTCCCATTTTGGGGGGGGGGGTACCCTCTCATATATTAATACATAGTAAGCAGCGGTTCCAGTTGTACAATTCAGTGGTTCAGTGGTTTAATTCTTGGCCAGTTCAGCCTCACATGAAGCCACCACCTGACTCAAAATGGAGAGCTTTTGTCCTGTTAAGATGCTGAATGGATTTCAGTGGAGCTTTCAGACTAAGGGGAGAAAAATGAGGCTGTCTGCTCCCATAAAGATTTACAATCTAGCAATACCAAAAGATAAGTGCTACTCTGTCTTATAGGATCACTACAAGCTGGAATTGACTTGATGAAAGGGGGTTTGTTTTTTTGATCCAGACTAAGACAGACTAAGAAGAGACACCTGGTGATCTACTTCTGAAAAATCAGCCAATGAAAATAGATTCCATTGTGCATGAAGCTGTCATGAATCAGGGACCAAGTCAACAGCAGTTAACAATATCATTCCAGGCAGACAGAAAATACTCAATAAATGTTAACAATAATAAAATTAATATTATAAATAACATGACTAGCTAAATCTACTCCCATGGAGTAAATTCCTACTCATAGTAACCCTAATAGGGTTTCCAAACCTATATATTTTTTTTATAGTAGCCAATAATCTCATTTTTCTTCAGTGCAGTAACTAATGGGTTTGAATCACTGACTCTAACACACAGATAAATAATGAATGTATAACATGTGCCAGCTCGGTACTACTACAGTACTTGGGATATTGAGATAAAGAAATAAAACCTGCAAAAATCCATGCTCTTTGTGGTGCTTACATTCTAGTGATTATTGTGAATGGTTTTTATGTTCTTGCCCTCCATTCGAAGATTAGTGACAGTAAACTGCAACAGATTTCCACTCACATCTAATCTCCAATTTCAAAATGATCTCAAAGTGAAAAGTAGTTGTGTTCAGTTCTGGTACCCATGGGATTCACAAGTACTTACCCTCCTTGTTGTGAGCCAGGACTCGTGGAGCTGGTCTCTTTATGTTGAAAGAAGACACATTGGTGGGCCCAAGGCCTGCTATGGGTCCATTGATGGCCTTTAGACTGGATTTACTTCCTCCATCCTGCAGTCTAGGTACCAATTTCCCCACTTCTACCTCAAGACAGTGTTTACTCTCTGAAATTGGCCTGCTTGGGGACTTCTTTCCAGAAGCAGTTTCTCCAATCCTCTGCAAAGGTAGTTTGGGGTATTGTGGCAGCCTGTGGGGTTCTATGTTGGTCTTGCTGGCACCATTAAATGCTTGTTGTTGGATTTCACCTGGGAAAAGTTGGTACAAAGAAGAAAGATTAGTGATAACCTTTATCACTTATTCAGTTTAATAGATGCATATACTTAATTCCATCTTCAGTAAAATATGAATAGTTAATATACCTATCCTATGAGGTTACTATGACAATTTCATGAAATTATATACTTACTTCTGTGCCTAGTATATAATTAAAATTCTGTAATTGGTATTTATTATTTATACTACTATCTTTCAAGTGAGCATGAAGGGCTAAGCCTTTTTTCTCCCAGAAAATTTTCTTCTTGTTGGGAATCTCATTAATCAGTGTTGTCACCATAGTAGTTGGAGACAAGGGAGGTTCCTTTATAAGCTGGCTCTAATGTAGATACGTGGCCCTTATTCTTTTATTAATTCTAGTCCAATTGTGATAAGTTTGAAGCAGCCAAGCAAATAATTATCAAAAGCTCATAAATATTGGCAAAGGCATAAGAACAAGTGTGCCATGGGTTCTAGGATATGCCTTATGGTAGAAGTGACCTGTAAGCCACTAGCATTCAGGAGATAAATCTCAAGCACATCTAACTACTTTTTCAAAACAGTGAAGTATACAGTGACATGAATTACTTATCCCACCCACTTTAGGACAAGTTTATCAATTACAGATTCCTATTACAACACTTCATTCCTTAGTGGAGACACCCTAGCAACTTCTATCCTGCTCCAATTTAGGATGATAGCAGAGATTGAATTTGCCATATGAGTCTCAAGAACATCATCAAAATCTCAATGGAGTATAGGTAGCTCAACTTTTAGAAAGATGTCCCACAGATCTGGTCTGAAAGATCACTATCTTCCAAAAGAGAAAAAACTTTCTCTTGACCCCTAAAACAGGGTATAGAATGATAAGAAGAATGATGCTGAGGCTAGAGCCTTCTTCTAGGGAAACCATTTTCTAGGTGGTGGGGTATTCTGAATAATAATAATGATAAGAATAACAATGATGATAATAAGAATGATAGTAATAACAGCAACAGATACTTGGTCCCGTTCTAAGTGTTTTTCATAGATCTCATGTAATCATCCAAATAACTCCTAAACTAGGATGCTTTTATCATCCCATTTTGTAGAAAGGGTACAAAGAGGCTCAGTGTCAGAAACCTAGTAAGAGTGGTAGAGGTAGGTTTCAAATCTTAAAGTGTGTTTTTGAATTCGTATTCTTAAAACTACACTGTGATGTGTTTTATTTTATTAAGGAAGATGATGGATTCATTGTAGTAGGACTCTCAAACTAGGAAACCTCCAAGGATTCAATAAACCTCTTAAAGTAAACTTACATAAATATGCATAAAACGTAAAATGTTATACTGTACATATTTATCTAACTTTATTTATCTGGAGAGTTTTCATTGTTCCAGTCAGTTATAAGACTTCTGCATCATCCTCTTTCTCTAACCAGTCATCCTTTTCCAGACCAGCTTCAGAAACTGTGGGGGACTGGGACTGAATTAGAATCAGAAAGTTAAGTCTCAGAAATAGGCAACTGTCCAACTCTTAACCTATAAAATTATCTTCCAGAAGTGGGTAAGTAGTAGAGAGGAATTCTGAGAGAGTGCATGGTAGTCCCATAGGAGAAATAAATTATCTCTAATATAAATAGAGCAATGCATATAAGTGCTGTAAAGTGAATAGCATTAATTTTGTCTAGCAGGGGTGAAGAATGATGTATAAAAAGGCATCATTTGAGCTGAGCATTGAATGATTGTAATAGGTGGAGAAAAGGGGAGAGGAAATTTTAAGCAAATAATAATTTGAAGTAGTGCAATATGGTTTTCTCAGAAGATGTAAAAGAAATAATGAAACAGGTTTAATGTAACTTGTACATGGGAACCTATTAGAAAAGAAACAGGTGGGAAGCTTAAGATGAGGTTAATAAATTGGGCTGGGGCTATATTAAAAAAGCCCTAAATGCTACACTCAAGAGTATGAATTTTATCCTTGCCCACAAGGATCATGTTTTATTTTTATTATCTCTGTGTGACTCTTGGCAGGGAAATAGCATTATCAAAATCAATCAGAAAATACAAGAAAGACTGGAGGTAGAAAAACCATATATAGGATTGCTAATGAAAAGTAAACTACAGCAGAAACAGTGAGGAGAAGATAGATTTGAAAGATATTAAGGAAGTAGAAATGGATAAGGCTTAGGTATAGGGATGTGAAGGAGTCTATGAAAATGTTGACAGGACTCTCTGAGATACTACAAAGAAACTTCAAAAATTTTAGATAAAAACTTAATGGAAAGACAATCGATTTTTCCACAAGTGCTTTGAAGTTCCCTCTGGGAAAGAACACTGGTGAGCAAGATTGGTTAATTCCCAAGAACAGTATTTGGACAGATTATGAGAAGTACAATATTATAGTAGACAAATGAGCTTTGTAATAAAATATATGGGTGCAAACTACCACTTAGTAGCTGTGAGAATTGGGCAAACTACTCACTGTCTTTGAGACTCCAATGAATGGATTATAAAATGGGGATCATCATGCCTAATTCACATGGGGAATTATACAGATTAAATGGTATTAAGAATTCACACTATTGGGATGGCTATTATAAAATATGGACAATAACAAATGTTGGTGATGGTGTGAATAAAGTGGAACCCTGGATAGAAATCAAAATTGGGACCATAGAGAGAAATTAAAATAGTACAGAAACTTTAGAAAACAGCTTAACGATACAACCTGACCATGCTTCAAAAGTTTCAACATAAATTATCATATGATCCAGCAATTTCATTCCTATAAACTCAAAATAACTGAAAATAAAAGTTCACATAAAAATCTGTACACGTTCCATGATGCACACCTTCCTGACACGATCGCTGAAGACAAATGTGTGCATA